TCAAGTGTACCCGTCTAAGTTGACATGAAAAGTTAATTCATTATTTAATAAAAAAAAAAAAAAAAATGATAAAAATTCAAATACCGAAATAAGACGATAGATATAACATTGTTTTTTTTGTCCATCTCGCCAAACTCTAGCCATAGCTTGATCATCATCTATTAAATAGAATAAAAATTTATTTATAAAATATTCATTTCTATGCAAGATACATACTAGCTGGATTCCAATCAGGATCAAACATGACTAAACGATTAGCACCAATTAAATTAAGACCACAACCACCTGCTTTACTACTTAACATGAAAATAAAATCTGAACTCTAATAGCAAAAATAAATATAATTTTAGAATTTCATAAACAAATAAATTATACTTACTTCTGGATTATTAAAACTATCAACAATTTTGCCACGTTTTTTAATTGACATTGAACCATCAAGACGAACAAATTGATATCTTAGAAATAAAACATAGGATTAATTTGTTAGTAACCTTCAATGTGTTCAGTGTTGTCCATGTATGAAATTAAAACAATAAATAGAAGTTGAACACTAACAGAAGGCTCGATCGATTTCATTGGACTGAACTGATTATATTCCAACCTACTTATTACGTATTCCGTATAAGTTACAGAGAAAAATCGTTGTTATTTGTTAAAATCTATTACCTAGGGGTACATTTTTTCGTTTCAGTTGTTGAATCTGCATCTGAGTAGTTCAAAGTTACACAAAGTACTTGCATTCAACTATTGAAATGGAATATACTTCGTATCAAAGTAATGCTAAGCATATACTTATGTTCGTCTAGAATAAAACTTACAACTCATTCGAATAGTTTTCATTTTTATATAAAAATAGCCAAATATATCTGCTAGATATTTATGATGTAAAAAAATTGAATACAATTTTTGACTAATTCATATTCAAGAAAGTTTATACTTGTTTTGATCTATATTAGTATCTATAAGACTATGCCTGTCAGATAAATTCTTATTAATATTTAGAACATAGTACTACAATTGTATTTTCTATAAAAATAAAACTAACGAGGAAACATTTTCTATTGATCAATTGTCTAAAAGTCAATAATATTTGGTGTTTAGACAAAAAAAAGTGACTTCTTAGTAAAATAAGATCATGTTATAAAATTTTCACATTAATATGTTAATATCTATTTATATGGCTACGTTTTTTTTTGTAGAAACAGAAAAAGTTACTTCTTTTCCATACAATACGATATGTTCTATAGTCGAGACAGATCAAACAACGATTTTATCAGCTAACATATGAAGACCTAAGAAGATTTCTCAGAACCATATTCAGATTCACGTCAGTATGATCGATAACTTAATAATCTATACTATCTTTCATTCAAAAACAAAAAAACCGATTGATCAGTTAAAAATGAATTATTACATGAAAGTTGGATTATCTATTTGAGCTTACCGTCGTTGTTGACATAATTTTTCAAAAATATCCAATGTTTGTGTATAATTTGAAACAAGTACTACACGATCATTAGTTGTTGCTTTGATAACAGCAAGTAAATAATCTAATACAATCATTTTACCTATATAAAATTCATTGATTAATAAAAAAATTTTCTTCAAAAAAAGAAATTTTTCATCTTACCCGATATAACTGGATCAATTGTTTTCATATTAAAACCTGTTGGAAATAAAGGTAATAATTTAGAAAAACCATCAACTTTTTCTAAACATTTTTCATAGATAAGTGCTGGATCTAAAATATTGATTTTTTTTTTTTATGAAAGATAAAAACAAAGATTTAACGTACGATTACACAATTTCTTTAAACTTGTTATAACAGATAAAGCTGATTGTGAAAATTTTCCATTTGATGTTCCAAGTTCTGATATACCAGTTTCAACAAATTTTTTATATAATTCAATTTGTAATGGCATTAATTTACAACAGATAACTTGTTCAACTATAAAGAACAAAAATTAATTATATTTTCTTTTTAAATTTCTTACTTTTAACAGGTAAATATTTAGTAAGTAATACTTGTGTACGTCGAATAATACATCGATTAACTAATTGATTTAATTCTAGTAATTTTTCTTGAGCTTGTTGAACTTCTTTATCACTACCGCCAGCATCACGACCACGTCGAATTGGATTTTCAAATCTTGTTCGAAATTCATTAGCTGTACCTACAATAAATTTTCAAAAAAAGAAAATCTCAATTGAGAACAGATTCTTTTTTTTTTTTGGCTTTTCCGTAAATCTTACCGAGAATACCACTATTAACAAAATGTATTAAACTAAAATATTCAAGTAAATCATTTTGAATTGGTGTACCAGATAATAAAACACGTCGACGACAATCAAGTTTAAATAATGCATCATATGTTTGATTTTCAGCATTTTTTAATCGATGTCCCTAATATTTTAATAGCAATTTTCTTTTTCATATATAAATTAAAACTTACTTCATCACAAATAATTAAACCAACTGAACCTTTATGAAGTATGGCAGCATGTGAACGAAATGCTTCGTATGATATAATTAATACAGGATTTGCTGAACGACGTGCTTGAGAGAGCATAAATGTTTCTAAATTATTTTGTGATATATGTCATTTTATGTTAATATTAAAAAAAAAGAATTGACTTACTAAGTTGTGTTTCAATTTCTGATTTTGTACCAGTATCAATAGGTAATGTACCAAGTCGACCATTTAACCATTTATATACTTCTTTATCCCAATTCTATAATACAAATAATAACTTGATTTGTAATTAAATGAAATAAATATAAAATACAGACTTTAACTAATGATGCTGGACAAACAATAATTGCTTTTTGAATTGTTGGTTTACAATCAGGTCCTTGTTGCTATACAAGCAAAAGAAATTTCATTGATAAATAAATTTTTAGTAAAATAATGATTACCAATAATGTCCATAAAAGTGTTATACATTGCAGCGTCTTACCAAGACCCTTAAAAATATGTTTAAAAATTTATTTATTTTTTTGTTAATAAAGAGTAGATTACTTGAAAGAAGCTTTCTACTACTGAAATTTTTATATCGAAAATGAAATAAGAATAATATATGATCAGATTTACATAGACTTTGTCTTTTTGTTATATGGATATTAACCCTTTCAATCCTGCATGTCATCTCGTAGATGACATACACATATCGTAATATAGAAATTTTGCGTTCTGTCGTCTTCCTACAGGATATATATCATATGTGTGTTCTTCACTGTGAAAATTTTGTTTTCGCACTGAACTAGTGTAGCTAAAATTCGTTTGCAGCTGATTATCTAAAGGAGAACGCAAGAGAGAGAGAAACCTAGATTTTCTTCAACTTTGTATAGAATGAGAGAAAATGTCGGGATTAAAAGGGTTAATAAATACAGGTTGAAGAAATTTTTAACCACAATCGTATGTCAATGAATAGCTTCAAGTCCACACTTCGGTCCCTATAAGTAGGTTTCATCGAGGTCAAAACGTACGGTTATGAACACTGGTGACCTAAACCAGTCAACTTTTGGATAAAACGATTGTGACGTTTTTCTTAGTAAGAAGAAAATTTTTCTCCTAACAGAACGCAAAAAGAGAATCTCAGCTCAGCTGGGAAAGAAGTAAAACTTTCCACAATTGAGAGACGAACGACTATTAGACATCCGACAGCTTTTCGCCTAGTAGAGTTCGGACTAATCATTGAATACAAAAATCGAAAAAAAAAAGTATTTCATTTCTTGACAAAGACTATTCTTTTAGATTAAAAAATTTCATTGAGAGTATCACGAATCTCTTAAAGTTTGCTAATTAGCTCTTGTGTCATTCTAAATCTTTCGATCGACGTTATTAATTACTATCTTTGATTAAATGCTTACCATTTCATCAGCCATAATACAACCATGATAGTTTTCAATTTGAGCACCTGTAACACTATCATAAAGAAATTTTACACCCTACAAATTCCAGAATGTTTACTTTTAACATATGAATAATAATGAAACAAGTTTACCTCACGCTGATGTGGTCGAAGTATTTTCGATAAAGTAGGATCAACAACAACATGAACTTGTACTTTATCTCTATTAAATACAAAAAAAAAACCTAAGTATATTAATAAATTTTGTTTTTACTTGTCAATTTTAAGTTTATCATGTTCACTTAATTCTGGTGGTATATACAAAACAAGTGCACCTTCTTCTTCTGGATCATATAAACTTTGTCTTCCACCAATACGTCTAACACCTAAACCACGACCTGATATTGGTCCTTTATAATTTGGAATTGGAATTTTGAATGGTTGAGAAAGTAGTGATCGAATAAATGCTTCCTATTAAACAAATTTATCATTTTCTTCATTGTTTTTTAAATATTTTATTTACTTACATGTTCACTATTACTACATCCAATATTTATTAATGGATAATTTCCAATAGGTACAAGTGCTTTACGAAATGAAGATATAAATTGACTTGTATCATAACCTTTATTTGAAATTTTTGCATTAGCATAAATCTAAATTTAATAAACAAAATTTAATTGAGTAAAAATTAATGATCTTTTACTTTTTTTGGTTTTTCCTTTCGTTTACGTTTTCCATTTCTTTTCGAACCATCATCATCTTCATCTGAATCATCTGAATCATTTTCATAATCACTACAATCAATAAAACGTTTTGCAGTTGTACTTGGTGCAAGACTTCGTCGCTAAATATAAAAAGAAAAAACGAAATTTTCTTTTTTAGATTTTTATTCATCAAAACTTCTTCTTTTTTTTTACCATTCTTTCTAACAAATAATGAAACGATCAAATTAATAACAAAGAAGAAGAAACTACCGCTTGTTCGTTAAAAAGATTCTATGAATGACATCTATCGAAATCAACTTTATTTATTGGTTGAAAATAAAAATTGTTTTTTTTTCTTCATTCGTTGTTCTCTCCTACCACACCGTTTGCTTTTTTTTTATTATCATTCAAGCATACTGATTAATGCATTTTTTTTAAATGACATCAACAACATTTGAATATCGTTCTCATTCAAGTGAACAATTATCGCCTCCAAAAATTCCACTTCCATCACTTCGTTCTGCTCATTCAGCATGTACGATTGATATTAAATCAACAACGTCATCATCATCATCATCATCATCATTTTCACTTGATAATGAAACAAAAAATGAAAATATAATTTGTTCATCATTATCAAATCGTCAAACAAATTCGGAATATTTTCGTAAATCAAATTCACTTGATTCCGGTTATAAAACATTAAGTGCAGCTAGTCATGGAACATCACATACAGATACAATTGATGAAGAAAATGAACGTATGAATAGTTTTTTACAAATAGCATCTTCACCATCATCTTGTTCATCATCATCATATGCTGTTTCAAATACAAATAATAATCAAAAAACTAATACAAAAATCGAATTTATTGTTGATGATGAAGATGATGTTGATGATAAACAATCAAATATATTAAGAAAAAATTCTAAATCAAATACAGACGGTAAGAACAAAAAAAAAAAAAGGAATTGCTACTTGTTTTTTTTTATTTTCTATAAATTGAAATACGTTGTTTTTCTTTTTGTGTAGGATTATCATCAAGTGGTGAACGTCGGTCACGTAGAAATAGTCTTTCAAATTATTCGGTATCAAATTATAGTGTTCTTTTAAATGAATTTTGTTGTACATCATCAGATCAAATTGATCAAACAATTCATGATGAAAAAATAATAAAGAAAAAAAGTGGTTTTGCTAATACAGTAGCAACATTTTTTTCATCAAAAAAAAAAGATGATGAACAACAAATACCTATAACACCAACGAAAAAAATCAATCGATCAAGAAGTGTATCAGAAACATCATTAGAAAGAACAACGATCAAGTAAGAATTTCATAAAAAAGAAATTGACATGACCTATTAAAAAAAACCATTTGTACGAATTTTATTGATAGTTATAAATGAATTCAAGTATAAGTTTATGAATTAAATTCAGTAGAAGATCGATAGAGAAAAAAAATCTTCTGCAACTTTCAATTCTCTTGATTGCTTTTCTCAGTAGATTTATTGTTCTACATTATTATGAAAGGTTTCAACGTCATTTCGGATTTGAGTCACGAAAGAAGTGACCCATAACATGTTCCTAATTTGACTTCCTTTTGATGATATCATCAATTGAATACCTATATCGAATGAATCTAGGCCAAAGTACAATATTCATATAAATATAAATATGAATCTGAATCTTTGTTGTTGATATGAGTTAAGTACTATAGATAATGAGTATTTTAATGTTGCGTGCTAATCAATTGTTTATTGTGAGAAAAATATTGATATCAATTTGTTTGTCGATTGATAAGGAAATAAATTTTTATCGATCTCTTTTTTTTTTTTCATAGTACCATGATTAAACGAAAGAATTGAATCTACTTAACTATCATAAAAATCATTTTTGTTTTCTAAATATAATTTAACATATAACCTTTATTATTTTCATCGTATGGTTGTAAATGAAAATATTTTTAAAATATTTACATTTAGAGTTTGTTATTGAAAAAAATAAAATTGATTTTTTTATTCTTTAGTCAAGATTCGATTGAACCCATAAAACCACTTTCAATAGAATGTATTGACGAACAAATAGATAATGAAACAAAATCAAAAAAAATGCCAACTACAACAACTTATACTATTCCATCAAAAGGAGGAAAAATATCTACACAATCTCTTCTAACAACATCATCATCAACTAATAACAATCAACATACATCATCATTATCACATTCATTTAGTTGGTTACATCGTCTTTCAAATCGTTTTAATTCTTCAACATTAACAACACGTACAATAACAACAGCAACAAAAACGAGTAGTACTGGTTTAATATTTGAAAATCGTCCAATAAATTTACCACCAAAATCAAATGAAGAAACACTTAAACATCAAGTTGAATATCAAAAAATGTGTTTTGAAGCTAAACGTGCTCAACAATTATTTGATGAAAAAGAAGAACAACGACAACGTCTAAAATTAAAACGTGAAGAATTTGTTTCAAAATCATTAAAAATTTGGACACATGATATTTTACCATGTTGGGATAAATATGGTGGAATAGATAATTGTCCAGATTTAACATTAAATTCAAAAGCTTATAAATTATGGTGGCATGGTTTACCACCACGTATAACAAAAAGAATTATAATAAAAAAAAAAGCATTCAAAATTTTTATTTTTATTTAGGTATAAGAGGAAAAATATGGAAAATGGCTATTGGAAATGAACTTGGTTTAACATATGAACTTTTTACACAACTTGAACAAATGGCAAGAGAAAAATTAGAAGTAACAAAACAAGTAAATGAAAACAAAAAAATTTATTTCGATAAAGAAAATTTATTTTTCATTTTTTCTAGGCAGAAGATGCTCGTAGTAATCATTCAGGATCACCACAATTAGGAACAACATTTTCACATTCAAGTGAAACAACAAGTACATATATTGAACTTATTCAACTTGATGTATCAAGAACATTTCCACAACTTGGACTTTTTCAACAATATGGACCATACCATGGTATGTATATGAAAGAATGAATATTCATTAATAAAAAACAAAGTTACCCAAATGAATAATTCGAGATTGAGAAACAAAGAATCCTAGATTTGAAAAATACAAAATATCGATTACATAGAATTCAGAATTTGAAATATACAAGGATAAGTTGTTTATTATCGAATTGCTTTAAGATAATAATTGTATTCAGTAATATGAGAAATTATAGAAGAGTTTTTCTCATTTTAATTAATCATAATCATATTTGATTTTTAATCTTCATTTGATAAGATTTTATTACAGCTGTCATTTGTAATTTAAATCCATACTAATATTTACATTACAATATGTTATTTCTGTCACGTATAACTCATAAAACCAATATAAAGTCAAGGTTTATTATAATAACAACAATTAGATACAATAATCAATGAATATTTATGTAAGACTAGAAATCTAAATTGCGATCGAAATAAAATTTTTTTTTTCGTGATAAGATTATAAGAGTAATTCAAGTTGTATATTTTATTGAGAATTTGATCGTCTTCAAAATACTATTTAAGACGTCAGCATAAAGCAAAGTCTTGTGGATACATTTTTGAAAGAATAGTTCAATACAAATTATTCGTCTAATCTTGTCATGAAATGCTATTACGGAAAATATTTCCTTTCGTCGTGATACAGTTCTCGTCCCTTAAGACATGTAAGAATTCATTCAAGCGATTATTTCATAATTTCTCCTTCCGTTTCAGAATAAAGAACCATGGCCTTTTATAATTGAAATTCATATTACTCTTTCAAAGGTACCTTTATATTGTGGGCTAACATTTACCTAGAATATCGAGAATGTTTGAAAAAAAAAATTTCTGATATTCAAATCGACATTATTAACAACTAGATGCTAGAAAATACAAGGTGTTGAGACACTAAAATCCGTTGGATCTTTGAGAAAAAGGTTACAGCTTTCTATTCAAGGATCAAGTTAATTATGTTCTTAAAAGTATCAATCATTCTATGTAAATTATTAATTATATATTTGAATAATTTTGATTCTTTTAGAATATCTTCAATTATTACTTTGTATATATGTATATCTTTGTCCTGAAGTTGGTTATGTACAAGGTCAAGCATTTTTAGCTGCTATGTTTTTATTAAATCTTGATTTATTTGATTCATTTATTTGTTTTTCAAATTTATTAAATCGTCCATATTTTCAAACTTTTTATCGTTTTAATAATATTGATAAATATTTACAATTATTTAAACAATTACTTAATTATCATTTACCTAAATTAAGTGCACATTTTATTCATATGTCAATTGAACCAAATTGTTTTGCATTAGATTGGTTTTTTACAATATTTTCTAAATCATTACCACTTGATGTTGTATCACGTATATGGGATTTATTTTTTCGTGATGGTGATGCATTCATATTTCGTACAGCTATAGCTATATTATCATTATATGAAGAACGTTTATGTCAATTAGATACATTTCATTGTTTACAATTTTTAACACGTTTACCAGATGATCTTAATGTTACATCATTATTTAAAGCAATTGATAAAATTAATTTTGATCATACTAATTGTGAATTATTTTATTTAATTGCTTAAATAAGAAGTTTCATCTTGTTTTTTTTTTTTTTCTTCATTTTTATCTATGCTCAGATATAGAAGTAGAGAGAACTAATAGCAATATAACTATCTTTTCTTTGTGCACGGCCAAATATATATGTGTGTGCTTGTTTCTTTTTTTTCTTTTTTGGTTCTAGTCTATTTGCACAAAATTCTTTTCGCATTTATTCATATAACTCATTTTGTTTTTTTTTTTGTGAAAAATCTTACTCCTTAATGCTGCTCACATTTGATTTTTTTTTGTTTTTTTTTTCGATGTGATATGATTATCTCTCTATTCTATATTTCGTCTATTTTTTATTAAACTATTCACTTGTTCATTGTGCTAATCATTGTATAAATGTTATTTTAGAATAAAAATAAATACCAAAAAAAAAAAAATATGAATGATTCAACACGCTAATCGTTTATTAAGAATTATTTATTGTAGGATTTCATATCTACAAATGGCTAGATTACAATCAAATTTTGATTTAATATCATCATATTGTCAACCAACATTTAATATTGAAAAATATCAATCAAAACAAACGGGGATGAAATTATATCATATTAATGTACCGCTACCTTTAATTAAACTTGAGATATGTGTACAAACAAAACCATATGATGATACTGGTTGTGCACATACATTAGGTAAAATATGTTTCAGAAATATTATTTGATTAAAGAACAAAACTTATTCGATAATTGATTCATTAAATGGATTGAGAAAATTATTGCAGCATTTACTATCTGAAAAAAATGAATATTATATTCTATTATTGAAAATTAGAAAATTCTGTATTTTATAAATATTGACCAGTTGTGAATTAATACTACACTTTAAATTATATTTTATTTTGATAGCTGATTCATTCAAATTAGAGAAAGCAATTCTTATTAAACTGCATCATAAAAGATCAATTGTAACTATTTTCTTTAATCTCGATGTTCGATAAACGTAATATTCACATACAAATCATTCCTTGTAGAATCAAAAGCTAACTTTCCTTAGAAACCTAATAGAATTTTGTAAGAAAATTCAAACAAACTATTTTTTTTACTAGAAAAATATCAGTAACATTTACAATCTAGGAAATTCTATACTCACATATGCCCAATTAATCAAACTTTCGAGTAGTTATGAGTTGAAACTTTACTAAACAACAAACTTGTATATAGAGTCAAGTTTCATTTAAGAATGTCAGTAAATAAAAGAGAAAAAAGCTATCATGCATAAATACAATATTTTTGTTCGTTGTCAAAAAACAATTTCTTTAATACTGAAAGTAGATAATTCTTTGGTTGGATGTTTTCTTACGATCTATACCGATGTGAAAAGGCTTTGAAATTGGTATTTCATAATAATCAATGATTTTTAATATTGTAAAAAGATTATAAATTTTTCAGAATTTGAAACATGATTTTCAGCTATGATATTACTTAACTGTTTATATTTTTAAACAATTTTTGACATCATAAGAAATTCATTCACTACCTTCTTACTATTTAGAACATCTAATTTTTATGGGTAGTCGTAATTATCCTCAACAAGGTTATCTTGATTATATTTCTGCACAACATTATTGTTTGGGTACAAATGCTACAACATATCGTGATATGACAACTTATGAATTAACAACTGTTAATTATCAGTCTTTATCTACACTTCTTCCTGTTTATCTTGATCATATATTTTATCCATTATTATTAAATGATTGTTATTTAACTGAAGTGCATCATATATCCGGTGAGACAGGTGATGATGCTGGTGTTGTTTATAGTGAAATGCAAGCAAGTGAAAATCAACCAGATGAAATTCTTTTATATTCTATACTACGTGAATTATGGTCAGATGAATTACCATATCATTATGAATGTGGTGGTCGTCTTGAATCCATACGTAATGAATTAACATTAGATAAAATAAAAATATTTCATCAAAAATTTTATACACCAAATAATGTTGCTATTATTTTATGTGGTGGTGGTATAAATGTCAATGAAATATTACAAATATTAAATAAATTTGAACAAGAAAATTTTTTTCAATATGATAATCGTCAAAAACTTTCTAATGAATATTCATTAGATGAAAATCAAAGAAAAAAAACAAAATTACATGATGATAAATTTCCTTTTATACAAATTAAATCAGCAAGTTTTGATGATAATTCTACTTTTATTCATTCAAATATAAAAACTAATGTACAATCTATTGATACAACCAAATTATCAGTTCAATCAACTACAAATGAAACTAATGAATCATCATTTTGTGATTCAGAATTAATGGTATCACGTGGAGAGTCATCTGGTCCATCATCACCAAATTCATTATTACAGGCAAGTGAAACAGATAGTTCAATATTTCAACGTAATATGAATGAATATAAAGAAGTTTGTTATCCAGTTGATGATAATGATGAAAATTTAGGACAAGTTGCATTTGGTTATCGATTAGAATCAATTTATGAAATGGAAATTTATACAGCACTTGATGTTCTATTAACAACATTATTTGATGAAGATATTTCAATTTTTTATAAAGAATTTATTGAATTACCAAATACATTATGTTCATCAATTGATCACGATTGGTTTAATTATCCGCAAAGAGTCTTAACGATTACATTTGAAGGTTGGTATATATGTTAATATTGTAGATTCTAATGAGTTATGAATACTCTGAAAAGCGTTCGAGCCCATCAGTTGACTTGAAACTTTGCATAGAAATAAGTCTTAACAGGAATAGCTAATCGTGAAAGTATCAAGTCATTTGACCTATTCTTATCTTTAGATAAGAGCATCGAATCTAGAGTTGCCTATCAGTGATGTAAAAGACACGCCTTTTTACTAGGATTGTATCTTAACAAAGGGATAATAAAAATAGCTAAAATTTTCATAATATGCTATTCTAGTCAATATTAATTTCTATAGAAATTTTCAAGTGAAAATTCAAAAATTAGTCATTCTTGATGCTCCTAAGGAAAACACAGCTCTCTGTTAGAAAATACCATATAAATACAAAAGATGTGAACTATTGAAATTTCTATGCATCGAATATTTATTGAAAAATGGTAATTTATAAAAAATTAAAAAAAACTCAAATCAAAATAATTTTTCTTAAAAGATAAATATAACTGAGGAATTTGAACTATTAATTTACTAAAAATCTTCTTAGTAGTTGAACGACATTCACTAAAATAGTTTTCATGTCTATGTACAAAATTATTAAATAACTAAAAACAAATGTATTATTTCTCAACTTTAATCACACTGATTTTTATTTATATTTAGGTGTTGAAATTGATGATTTAACAATGGTTGCTGATAAATATTCATCTGTACTTTATTCAATTCTTAATTCTCAAATAGAAAATGATCAATTCTATACACAAGTACAACGAAATATAAAAAAGAAAATTGAATTACATTTAAATGAAATTGAATCTGAACCATTCGGTTATCTTACTGATTTATGTTGTTTAGATCATATATCAGAATTATCTCTGTCAAATATAAAGAATGAAAATGATAATGAACAACATTTATATAAATTTTTACAAAATCAAAAATATTTAGAAAATTTATTGAATCGTCCACTTCCGTATTGGCATGAACTTATTAAAAAATATCTATTAGAATGGGATTCATCGAAAAAAACTGTTATTTTACTCAAGCCAAGTTATGAATTATTAGTTGAACAACAAGGTAAATGAAAAATTGAGAAAATATCTAGAGAAAAAGATCAATTTCATGTAAGAGAAAACTCATTTCTAATCATAGATTTTTCATTTTTTCTTGTCGAATCTTAATTTTGAGATTAGTTAAAGTATTTGATTATTATAATTGAATTCAATATTTAAAAAAAAAACATCCAACATTCATCATACCAAGAATATCGATAAATTTCGTTTTTCTTTTCAATCTAGATATTCTATATTTATAATTAAATATTTTGTTGATGTCTGTTCTCTTTTGTATAATGTGAAATAGAACACACCAAGTGTCTACAATATACCCTGCTTCTGATCACGGAAGGTTTCCAACGATGACTAGCCAATCGAACTGATGTTCGATCCATAAGTAGGTTCTGATGATATTAGTAGAATTCTATAAGGATTCGTAAACATGCGCTATCCTTCGCGAGTTATTGCAATTTTATTAAGCTTTGTGGACTTTAAAATGTTCTGAAAATTATAGCTTAAGGAAATGTGCTCGTCTTGAGATCTTGAATATTCAAAAACAAACATGTATCATAATGAAACGTAAGAAAGTTCAGCGCTTTCAATATTCGATATCTTCTAAAACATTTCAATGTACATGACGAAATTTCATAATTCGTTTTTTTTTCTTCAATACTGTGTCAGACATAGAAAATATAATAAAATTGTAATAACTTAAGAAGGGTAGCGTATAGGAACAAACCCTTATAGGATACTACTAGTCTGATTGAAATCTACTTACGGACAAACTATCAATTCGATTGGTGAGTCATACTTACGAACCTTCCTTCGTAAGAGTAACCTTTTTAAGACTAACAAATAGTACTTCACGAGACATTCTACACAGTTTTTTATGTCATAATAGCTATTACTTATTCATAAGATTATTGACTCTGTATTTTTCAAATCAATAAAATGAATTAAACGCTCCTATGTGTATGTAATTCAACATATTTTATCAATCATAGACTTCTTATATTACTCTCAAAATTAGTTACAATCAAATCTTCGAACATGTCAATTGTCATTTTCGATATTGAATCTTTTTTGGAAATGAAATTATTCACATACATATTTATCTAACTGAGAGTCAATTATAATATTTTCTATTTTAGAACAAGAAGAACAACGAATAGCTGAACGTCTTAATTTACTTAATTCAAAGGGTCTTCAAAAATTAAAAAATGAACTTGATCAAGCTCGTTCAAATAATAAACAATCATCATCTCAATGTGCTAATATTTCAAATCCATCAATTCCATTTCATAATCAATTACATCTACCACAAATAGAATATTATTCTAATAAAGATCAAATTGATCTTTTTCATAGTCCAACAAGTCATTTTATTAGATATACTTTACATATTCCATTAAAAGATTTACCTCTAGATCTTCAATTATATCTTCCACTTTTTTCTAATTTACTTTTTCATACATCTATTCAATATGAAAATATTCACTTAGATAAATATAATTTTTGTGAACTTATTTCTCGTGATATTCTTAGTTATAGTGTATCCAATGGTCAATCATCGTCATCACCTATACAATCAAGATATGTTTATACTCATTATTTTGATACATTTATTATATCTTTACAATCAATAAGTAATGATGAAATTTATAAAAATACAATTGATTATTTTCGTTATGTACTTTATGGAACAATATTTAATGATTATAAAATAATAATTGAAGAATGTGAAAAACAATTAAAACATCTTATTGAAGCATTACAAGATGGTCATACAATTCATGAAGCATATTTTAATTGTTTAATTAATTCAACGAATTTAAATAATTATTATCATCAAATGAATATTTTTTTACAAAAAAATCTATTTGAAAAAATTTGTAAACAACCTGATAAATATAAAAATGAAATTATATCAAAACTTGAACGTATTCGATTATTTCTATTGAAAAATTTATCTCAAATGCATTTTAGTATATGTGGAAATATGGAATTAATTGAAGGAAATTGGCATATTATTGAACAATTTATGAATGAAAGTAAATTAAAAAGTCAAATAGAAATTGAAAATAACCAAATAAAAGGAAAAAACGTTTCAACAGAATCACCCGCTACAATTATTGGTACTCCACATGAAGAATCAGGGTGAGTTTTTCTCGTAGAACACATTGTGTTCTTTTGCATACACAATATTTAATATTTGTCTAATTGCAAAAAAAAAAACGTACTAAATTTTTAATATCGATTCATTTAAAAACAAAACTTTTGTGACATAAATAGAAATCCTTGACAAAAAAAATGAATACGTTAAATGATGTAATACTATAAATATTTTTTCTTAAGTGAAGAATAGAAACAAACGAAAATAGATATAAGATACTAAGATCAATTTAATTTCCTTATTGTCAAATACATTCAAATCTTGAGACATAAATAAGATATATTCATGAGTTCGATCAGTCAACCATGGTTTGAATTGAACAAGAACAGTCTTCGCAACGTTCGAATCGTTCTAGAAGAGCCATTTCAATGAGCAACGAATACAGTTTTATTTACGAAAAGCCAGAATATTTTAATAATTACCAAAAGAGAAGATTACGTTCTTTTGGTTATCGATATATACCCCTGGAAAGCAAAAGTTAGACACTTTATTTTGGGTATATCGTCACTATAACAGCGTATTCTCAAAAGAATAATACTATATTCGGAAAGCTCGTGAAATTCTCTACCACCCTGTATATTTTTATTATAGTTTGTCCTCATAGAATATCTAACTAAATTGAGTACAACCAAGACAACCTCACGTCCAGATTCTCAAACACTTGATTTTGTGAATGCCATCAAAAATAGTTTTTGAAATTTTTCATCACTATAAAATGATCCTATAAGAAAGGAAAATATATATTCTGATAGAGCGTGAAATTCTCTATCACTCTGTATATTTATCTGTTTTTTCGCATTTGTTCATTGGGGAAATAATTTGACAACAATGACATATTCTCAACTGACAATTTCAAAAAATCGACACTTTTTGCTGTTTCGTTTTAGTTTTCTTGCTCGAATTTTAGTTAGTTCAACTATGAACTTTTAGTGATGCAATTACATCTTCTGACAGAGCGTGAAATTCTCTATCATCCTTGTAATGGTTATGTCCTGTCTCATATTTATGAGATGCAAATCAATTCAAGTAATATGCAGAAACCACCTACTGGCAAACTCTACCAGCTCGCCCATTTTACTATCCCTTCCGTTTTTTATTCCACCATATTAGGCTTATGTAGAAAATGAAGGACTATCAAAATATATGATAAAGTTTCCAAAAAGTCATTCCTGTGTGGCTAATGAACATGAAATAAAAACAAAGGAAGGTTGAACCAGGTCAAATTTTTCAGAGTTTGTCTGAAGGACTGTCTTTATCTTACTTCGATTATTCTTTTAGCACACAAGTTCAAATGAAAAAAAGACAGAGGGTGATAGAGAATCTCACGCTCTATCAGACTACAGTGCTACAATTGTGAAAGTTCATTTTCGTGATTATCATCATCGAAGAAAAAGAAGAAAAAGCTGATTTTTTGAAATTGTCAGTTGAGAATATGTCATTGTTGTCAAATTATTTCCCCAATGAACAAATGCGAAAAAACAGATAAATATACAGAGTGATAGAGAATTTCACGCTCTATCAGAATATATATTTTCCTTTCTTATAGGATCATTTTATAGTGATGAAAAATTTCAAAAACTATTTTTGATGGCATTCACAAAATCAAGTGTTTGGGAATCTGGACATGAGGTTGTCTTGGTTATACTCAATTTAGTTAGATATTCTATGAGGACAAACTATAATAAAAATATACAGGGTGGTAGAGAATTTCACGCGCTTTCCGAATATAGTTTTATTTTTTTGAGAATACGCTGTTATAGTGACGATACGCCCAAAATAAAGTGTCTAACTTTTGCTTTCCAGGGGTATATATATATCAAGTTATTCAATACAACTGAAAATTTTTTCTTAGTTCTAAATGCAATCATGTTTGTCTTGTCTACCAATATTTTTCCTTACTTCAACCAAAAAAAAGGATCCGCACGCCGAATGTAGCGATTCTTGAATCATTGTTACTAATGTTACATTTTTATTTTTCTCTATACTAAGCGTAGGCATTCAAAAAAAAAACCACCTCAAAGATATATCTATTTATCTTACATTTTAGTATATACCCAATCATCTATTCATAAATGGAAACATCATACTATGAAAGAAAACTCCGCTAATTCGGATTTGTCCATCACAAGAAGTAATTTCATTGACTTCACTTAACATTTTATTCAAGATATCTTATATCATTTCATAAGACTAAAAGAATTTCAGTGAAACATGCGTAAGATAAATTTTAAATTCTGAATAATCATATAGAACAGTCAAGCTAATAAATGATTACTTTCCATTAAGCTTTGCTAACTTTTACTATAAAAAAAAAAGACATGTATATTAATGCTCAAAACCGATTATCAAAACAGGTTTTGGCCATATTTATCAATGTTAATTACACTATTTGATGCATTCCTCAAAAAAAAAAAACTAATAATTTTCTTGTTTATTTAGTTATGTCCTTCGATGGACACGTCTTTCAATAAGTCCAAAAGATTTTGTTTCACTTTTAATCTTTTCAAATTATCTCGATATGGAAAATGGTCCACTTTGGACAGCATGTCGTACAAATGGTTATTCATATGGTGTTGCATTTGATTTTGATTTCGAAACAAATCTTATTCTTCTATCAATAAATCAATGTTCTCAATTAAAATTAGCCTATACAAGTGCTTTAGAAACACTTAAAAATATTGTTGAACATAAAACATCCTTAGATTCACAACGAATGAATGCTGCACGTAATTTAACAATTTGTATGTTGACAGAACATTTAGCAACATTAGGTCGTGTAACAAGTGTTTGTATTCGTTCATATCTTAATACATATTCAATTGATAAATATCAAAATTTATTAAATGAAATTAATTCATTTACTTATAATGAAGATATATTATTGAAAATAATTGAAAAATATTTATCACCATTAATTAATGATAATCAATCATCAACATTAATACTTGTGAATACAAATAAAATGAAAGAAACACAAGAATTTCTTCAAAAAGAACATAATATTAAAAATGTTATATTAATTAAAGATGTTGTGAAATATTTATGTCGATAGATTAGAAAAACAAAAAAAAAAAAAACCAACGAACTTTTTAATAGTGCTATTTTTTTTTTCTTTGTTTAATAAATAATAAAAATAAAAAAAAAACAAACATTCATTTGGTTAGTATTTTAAGAAAATCATTGTTTTTTTTTTCTTTAGATGTTAACAAGACAAAGTCATTTGTTTAATCTATTTATTCGAAGAAGTAATGAAAATTTTTTGATTTGTAAATAAGAAAACTGAAAAATTTTTTTCTTCTAGTAAATGTATTTAAACAATGTGCAATGTCAACAAATGTTGGTTCATCTCTTTTTACATTATCAGAATCACATGAAATGCTTCAAAAAACATGTCGTGATTTTGCTGATCGAGAACTAAAACCAATAGCTGCAGAACTTGATAAAACACATCGATATCCAACAGAAATTGTATGTTATAGTTTTTAGAAAAAATACATTTAAAACTAATTGAAAAATTTGTTTAGATTAAAAAATTAGGTGATCTTGGTTTAATGTGTGTTGAAGTTGATGAAGCATTAGGTGGTTCTGGTTTAGATGCACTTGCTTATGCTATTGCTATGGAAGAAATATCACGTGGATGTGCTGGTACTAGTGTTATCATGTCTGCTCATAATGTAGAGTTTTTATTGATAAGAATAATTTTAAAAAAAAAAAGACGAAATACTAACTATAGAATTGTTTTAGTCTCTTTACATCGGACCTATCGTAAAATATGGAAATAAACAACAAATTGAAAAGTTTGTCAAACCGTTTCTTAATGGTGATCGAGTTGGATGTTTTGCTCTTTCTGAACCTGGTTTGTTACAATTATCTTTTTATACCAAAATCAATTTTCATTTTTATTATTATTCATTAGGTAATGGTTCCGATGCAGGTGCAGCAAGCACTACAGTTAAAGAACATGATAGTTCAAGTTATATTGTTAATGGTACAAAATCATGGATGTAAATAAATAAAAGAAACCCTAACAAAAAAAGAAAATCTTGCCTAAATTTTATTTCAATAAAATTTTAGTACTAATGGATATGAATCCGAAGCAGCCGTCATCTTTGCAACAACTGATAAATCACTTAAACATAAAGGCATCAGTGCATTTATTGTTAAAAAACCAACAGAAGGTTTATCATTAGGCAAAAAAGAAGATAAATTAGGTATCAAAGCTAGTTCAACATGCAATCTTATATTTGATGATTGTATAATTCCAAAAGAAAATTTACTTGGTAAACAAGGTGATGGATTCAAAATTGCAAGTACAAAAATAATAATCAAATAAAATTAATTATTCGTATTCTATATTTCTTGATATTATATTTAGTGACAACACTTGATTCAGGTCGTATTGGTATAGCAGGTCAAGCATTAGGAATTGCTCAAGCATCACTTGAATGTGCAATTGATTATGCACAAAAACGACAAGTATTTGGAAAACAATTAACACAATTGCAAGCTATACAAATGAAATTAGCTGGTAAATTATCCGAAAAAAAAAATAATAATAATAATAATAATTTTTCTTTTATATAATTCTTTGTTCTTTTTATTTTAGATATGGAAATGCGTTTACAATCTGCTCGTTTATTAACATGGAAAGCTGCAGCATTAAAATCATCTGGTCAACCATTTACAAAATTTGCTGCTATGGCAAAATTAGCTGCATCAGAATGTGCTACATTTAATGCTCATCAAGCTATGCAAATTTTAGGTGGAATGGGTTATGTTAGTGATATGCCAGCTGAACGTCATTATCGTGATGCACGTATAACAGAAATATATGAAGGAACAAGTGAAAGTAAGATTTATTTATTTATTTTATTAATTTGATTTTGTTATTTAATATTTTTAGTTCAACGATTAGTAATTGCTGGTAATCTTATTAAAGAATATAGTGCAACAAATGTTTAGAAGTTAATATCAATTCTTTTCTTTTTTCTTGTTGAAATTGATTTTTTTTTTATAAAATAAAAGATTTAGGTGCAGTTTAACTTCGTGAATTATGTTCTTTTTTTGTTTTTTAATATTCAAATCTTTTAAAAATATTACTAATAAAAGAAAAAAAAATGCTTTTGAGATTATTAAAATAATAAAGAATATTGAATGTATTTTGACACATATAATCATTAGAATTAATATTAATGTATGAAAGAAAAAAGCTTTTTTTTTTGTGCTATGGTTAGGATCGATATATTATTGTTGAAACGAGGCAAAAAATGAAAACAGGGCGACACCTTACAAAAGTAAGAAACCAATGGTCATTAATTGTGATATCCTTGGTTTTTAAATAAATAATATTTTTCTTCACGAAGAAGTATTTCATATTCAAGGTACTTCTATCAACTATAGACTGGATTATTTTGATTAGTTGTTATTCTCATTAAGTATTTACATACCATCATCATTATGTTATATGAATAATTAGTGTTCACAGCAAAAAATCAACATTGAAGTTTTTATTTTTTCGTCTGCGTTAATATAAAGCTTCTTGACAACATATTAAAAGGAATATGTTAAATGACATATAGAAACAGTTACGATAGACAGATGTGTCGTGCATGTAATGTACTTTTTTTTTTTCTTTTAATAAAAACGATACTTGAACAGCAAGCGTTAATATTGCTGCTGTTGTTGTTGTTGTTGACATCGTAAGTGCTGTTATATGGTCATAATGTAAATGATTCGCTGCCATCACAACAACAATATATTTATGTAGAATAAAATTGTTTTCGTATTTGATGAGAAAAGAAGAGAAGAAAAAAAGAAAAAAAGCCAGAAGACATAAGTAAACAGTTCATTATAAAATTTAGAAAAGAGAAAGCAATCTATGCAACAGCATGCATAAACGATAGAATCTATTAAAATCTTGACTTTGTAAGTCTGCAATGTTTCTTTTCTTTTTTAAATTACTTTTCCGGTATGTCTTATATTCAACATTTTTATTTTTTACCAAGACCAAAATGGCAATTGACGAAACAATAGCAAAACCAAAACCAATGACAGCATCAACTCACAATTTTAGCATGACACAAAACGATAACACTAATAAAAGTTCCCATACTTCTCAACGTGTAGGTCATCTTCTTGTTCGTAAACAACGTATTGAACGTTGGGCATATAAAGGACGAAGTTCATCAATTGGTAATACAGCAACTACAACATCTGCTTCATTAGCAACAATATCAGCACAAAAACGTTCTGAAAGTACATATTCACAAATTGGTCGGAAACTTAATAGTAATCTAGTTCAATTAAGTGAACAACGACAAAAAGTAATTGAAAGAAGAAATTTCGATCAAAAATTATTTGCTAATAGACAAGCATTAAAACATAAAGACAATCCAGCTATACTTAGGTAACAAATAAAAACTAATTCTTTTCTTTTTTTTTTTCAATATAAAACTTAATTGATGATTTTTTTTCTTTTTATGTTCAATATAGAACATTAAATTATGTTCGAAAATGTTGTAAATATGCTGATACAAATGATGATGAAGAAAATCATATTGATCCAAAAATATTTTTAGAAGAAAATTCATCACCTAAACGAAGTCAATCACGATCACCATCGGCTACACCATCATTAACAAGAAGAAATTTATCAGCTAATGTACGTACACAAACAAGCGCATCGCTTGCTGAAACATTTCTTAAACATAATAAAAAACACATACGACCATATGGATCATCACCAATAAGCAGAAAATTAACTGAAAGCAAAACTAATACTGATACGGTATGTATTTTAAAAAAAACGGAAGAAATCACTTCTCAATAAAGTGCTCCTTGAGATTTATCACTTCATAGATGATCATATGACATAACTTGAATGAATTATGATTATTACTGATATCATTCTTTTATATTGTTATAGACCTATGTAGAGATATAAAAAATTGCATGTCATACAATATCAATTTTGTTAATCAAACATTCGAAATGAAAAAGAAATCTAATTTTAAATTTCGAGCTATTATATTTTTCAAAAAAAAGTTAAATTAACAACTAATAATTAACTTATTTCTTTATTAGACAACTATGACAAATTCAAGTGAAACACCAGTTGATGATGATTCTCAAAAACGTCATGTTCAATTTCGAATACATACTGATGGTACATATATAACTAGTCAATCAGCTCATGTCATTAGTAAATCCCATCCATACAGTGTAGACGAACAAATACAACGAAATATAACATCAGCAAATGGTATTCAATCATCTAGTTCAACATATGATACTCGTACAACAAATTCAGCTCCACCAGTGAGAATAATATCATCAAATATTATTAATACAAATGAACAAATACAACATTCACCAAAATCTAGACGATCATTATCAAGAATAAGTTCAGCAAAAGGTTCATTACAAGAATTTCGTCTTCATCCCGAAAGATTTTTAAGTGCATCAAATCGTTATTTACCATTACTTCGTCGACAAACTACAGATATTGAATCAAGAGAATTATATAATAGACAACAAAAAGAAAAAAATGATTCAATAAAAAAACAACGAATTAATTTTTCACCACCTATTTCACGTCTTTCCGATGGGTCTGATTTAACATACGATGAAGCTAAATCATTTCTTAGTGAAGATAATGATATAGGGTTTGTTCGATTAGAATATTTTTCTTTTTTTAATTCTTTTCATTTTTTCCAAACATTTATTTTTTTTCTTAATAGAAAATATACACCTCGTACACCACCACCTAGTTGGATGGTACAAGATCGTAAAAATAACAAAAAAATTCGTCCTTCAAGTAAAATTGATATGATGCAAACAGCTACAGATGATACATTGGAACGTACAATGGCTATAGCACGTCTTCGTGATCGTGAATATGCTCATTTAAATGAACTAATAGGTTCAAATTCTATTGAACAAATTCTTGAACCATTTTCTAAAATAAAAACCGATGAAATAAATCAAATAGATTTTGAACAACAAAAAGTTTTGAGTGTTCAACGACAACCAATTGAATCCATTGCCAATCAATCACCATTAAAATCAACAAAAATACGTCAACTTGGTGATATTTTACATTCAATTGATTCATTACGTTGTTCAGATACGAATGATGGACGTGCACGAAGAAAAATTGATTTAGAAAAAAATCGTGCAAAATTAGGCATTCTTATATTTTAATAATCATGTCAAAAAAATATTTCCTTTTTTTTTTTCTTTACAAATCGTTTTGTATTTTTTTTGTTTTAATCTAAATAAAAATATTATAATTATACATCGAGAACGAGTCTATTTTTTATTGATATGATATATGCATATATGTAATGCCTTGAAGCAAAACAAAGCATTTATTAATTATTAATATTTTTTATTCATTTATAAATTGATTATTTATGTCTATGTGACACTTTGCATAATATAAATAAGATACAGATTGCTTTTGTTTTTTCTCAACTATTGTTATCTATTTACTAAAACAACAACTTCGACAAACTATTATAGTCTATTTATTAGTACTCATCATTAATCGGATTTCTTTTTGAATTGTTACAACACGATAAATGTTGTGTTAATGTCTATTTATTCGTTTTTTTTTCCATAGCAGAACAATCGATCACGATTTAGAGCGTTTTAAAAAACGGAAACGCGTCCGATAACTGTCGAGCCGTCAATAGGTAAATAATACTTTTCGTTTATGCATCCGGCTTTGCTAATTCAAGCTCATTTGTATTATAATCAACATAGTATAAAAAAAAAAAGAAGAAACAGTCTACTTTTCCTTCAAGCTCGTAGTCTTTTCTTTAAATGAAAAAAGATCGATTTTGTTTGTTGTTAATTTCTTTCTTTCTTATTAGTTTTTTTCTAACATATTATTATAGATAGTCTTCCAACGTACAATTTTTTCATACGTGAATAAATTAGCGTTTACCGATGAGACAAAATACAGATTGACATCAGAGAACAAAGCATGTAGTATATGCTCGTAATAAAAAAAAAAGAAGGAAAATTTATAACGATATTCTCCGATTGCTCTAAGATTACTTTTTTTCTTCGTTTGAAAATCTGTCATTGTGCTCAATTATTGAAAAGACGATCGGGTAAAAAAAAAAGAGCAATGACGATAGAACAAACGACAACAATCAATCTCGTCGATTAAAAGCTTTTTTTCTATCTTTTACATAATATGAAAGATTGAACAGAAATCTTCATGTTTTCCTTTTTTTTTCTTCTTTTTATTTGAAAAGCTCTGTACCAATATGATTATCGTGTGAAAATAGAAACCGTCCAATGGTTAAACGTATTCTAAGTCATCATAATATTCATATTGCTGATAGTAAGTGAGAAAAATCGATTATAATTAATCCGTAGCAAAAGAAATTTCTTTCTAGATGAAATTAATAATATGAAACGAAGACATTCGTTGGAAGATGCTCCATTAACGAATAATCGTACAAATTCCGAACCTATGATACATAATGATACATCCATAGGTAATGAATATCATCATCCTAATTCCATAAAAAAACATAGTATAACGATTGTTGAAGTTAATACAACCGAATTAGCACTAAATAAATCAAATGAAGAACAAACAGAAACACGTGAACAATGGAGTGAAAAACTTGATTTTCTTTTATCTATTATTGGCTTTGCTGTTGATCTTGCTAATATATGGCGTTTTCCATATTTATGTTATAAAAATGGTGGAGGTTTGTTAGAAAACAAATTCATATGTGTATACATGTTTTTTTCTCAACATTTATTTCAATTTTTAATTTAGGTGCCTTTCTTATTCCTTATGTTCTTTCAGTTGTACTCGGTGGTCTACCTTTATTTTATTTGGAACTTTTACTTGGACAATATTATCGACAAGGTGCAATAACATGTTGGAGAAAAATTTGTCCATTATTAGCTGGAATTGGTTGGGCTGTAACTATAATTGCATTCTACACTGATTTTTATTATAATGTTGTCATATCATGGGGTCTTTATTATTTATTTGCTTCATTCAAGAAAATTTTACCATGGAGTGAATGCAGTATGTAACTGTATGATATTATTATGAATGTAAAAAATTAATATTTAATATTTAGATCATCGATGGAATACACCAGATTGTTCGACAGTTAATACACGACGTCAATTTTTAGAGAATTGTATTAATCAATTTAATAATACATTGAATAATACAATAGATTTGCCATCAATCAATATTAATGAACAACATTCATTTGAAACAAGTTTATTGTATGAAAATTGTTCAGAAAAATTAACACAATTAAAAATAGTTTCACCAGCACAAGAATACTTCCAGTAAAAGAAAAAAAAAGTCTTTTTGATTTCAATTAGATTTTTAAAATCTATCTTTCTTTTTTTTTTTTTTTGTTTCGTATTGCAGTTTACAAGTCTATCGTTTAAATCAAACACGTAATCTTAGTTTAGAAAACTTAGGTAATGTTAATTGGGAAAATTTGGGTTGTCTTGCAATAATTTATCTTATTTGCTATTTTTCAATGTGGAAAGGTGTTAAAACATCTGGCAAAGTAAAACATACAAACAACAAACAATTAAACATTAAATAATTATTGCAAGAATTTTAATTTCAATTTCTCTTTAGGTTGTTTGGTTTACTGCTCTATTTCCTTATGTTGTATTAACAATTTTAATGATACGTGGACTTTTTTTAAATGGTTCAATGAAAGGTATCGAATATTATATACGTCCAGATTTAAGTAAATTAAATGATCCATCTGTATGGGTTGATGCAGCATCACAAACATTTTTTTCATTGGGACCTGGTTTTGGTGTTTTAATGGCATTTGCAAGTTATAATGATTTTCATCATAATGTTTTTCGGTAAGAATTTATTTTTATTTTCAAATCTTTTTCATTGAAAATTTCTTGTTATTTTCTTAGAGATGCAATGATAACTGTAGCAGTTAATAGTTTAACAAGTTTTGCAAGTGGTTTTGTAATTTTTATGTTTTTGGTAATTTTAAAAATAAATATATTTACAAATTTCAATAGTATTAGATTTTCTAGGGTTATATGAGTGAAGTATCAGGACGAGCTATAAAAGATGTAGCTGAACAAGGATCAACACTTGTTTTTATTGTCTATCCAGAAGCAATAGCAACAATGCCATGGGCACCTGTTTGGGCTGTATTCTTTTTTTTAATGTTATTAACACTTGGTTTAGATTCATCGGTATATCATACTATTGTTTATGTTTATTTAAAATATATTTCTATATTTATTATTTAATAGTTTGGTGGAAGTGAAGCAATAATAACAGCATTAAGTGATGAATTTCCTGTACTACGACGTCATCGAGAATGGTTTGTTGGAATTTTATTTTTCTTCTATTTTCTTGTTGGTATTCCAAGTTGTACTGATGCAGGAGTTTATTTTGTTGAATTATTACAAAATTATGCTGGTAAAAAAAGAAATCTTTTTACAATATTTATTCGTATAAGAAAAAAAAAACAATCGATTATATTTAGCATTTTATTCAATAATTATTGCGGTCTTTTTTGAAGCCATAGCTGTATCATGGCTCTATGGAATACAACGTATAAGTGAAGATGTTAAAGAAATGCTTGGAACAAAACCAGGAAGATTTTGGCTTGGAACATGGTGTATTGCTGCACCTTTATTTCTTGGAGTAAAAATTTCAACCAAAAAAAATTTTCGATATTTCGAAAGTTTTTTTAATATTGTGTTATGTTTTTTTTAAGGGTATTATTCTTTCGGGTTTAATTCATTATGTTAATCCAACATATGGAAAAGTAACTGATCCATTTTATTATAAGGTTTCGGATTTTTTTTTTTTTTTTATTAATCAACATGATTCATATGTTAATTTTATTTAGTATCCTGAATGGAGTCATTTACTTGGTTGGATGTTTGCATTATCATCGATTGTATTTATACCAGCTGTTGCTATTTATCAATTATTAATTGAACAAGGAAATTTTACAACGGTAAAAAAACATAAATTGCTATAATTACAACAAATTTTTGTTTTATAATTTTCTTTTTCAAATAGAGATTTCGTTTGGCAATAACACCATGGAAAGAACGGCAAAGAAAACAAAATCCTGATATAATAATTAGTACAAATCATGTATTGAAAAAATATATTTCTGAAGAGACAATTTAATAACTATTTTTCTATAGTGTTTTGTCTATTCAAACTTTATAATTGTCTCTTTTTTTTTTCTTATCCTTTTCTTTTTATCTGTTGTTTGTATATGCGTTTATTTCGTCCCCTTCAAACACAAATTCTTTCTCGTTTCACATTAGCATATTTTACTTTGGCAAGGTCATTTGAATACATTGTTCTCTTGTATTTTCAAAGAAAATTTGCACCTAAATTCTTTCTTTTCTATTCTCAAACACAAAACGATCAAATCCTTATCTAAGGTCATCATCACTCGTTTGTTTGATTACTTATGTCATCTATCTCAATCAAACAAACGTCTTGTATCATTTTCAACTATGTTGACATTTGAACAGGATCAACTTTCGTGTACATATTCTATTGATCTACCTACTTTGCATAAGAAAAAAGATCGATCATCCTTATCATTAATATCACTTGAGAAAAGAAAGATCTGTTGAATAGGAGTTGTTCTATTCAATCATGAAGGTAAGCAAGAAGAGTATTCGACAATTGTAATACATAGTAATATAATTTAGACTCTTTTAAATATTATTTTTCTTCATTTAATTTATACTTCTATCAATGCTGGTAATTACAGATGATATCATACTGATTTTTTTAAAATTATTATTATAATTATTGTTTTGTCTTCTTGTTCGAAGAATTTTGTCATACGGATGATTGTCGTAGTGGTGATTGTGAATTATTACGTCTTTCCAATGGATTAATAAACAAAATTTGTCATTGTCCTAAAGTAAACTTTTTATCTCGATTTTTTTTTTTGTAAGATTTGATCAAATTTCTTTTTTTTTAAGGGTGTTTGTGGTGAAACATGTCAACGTTTATGTAATACAACTTCCCAATGTGATACTAATCCATGTTGGTTTGGTGGTACTTGTGTTGATGTAGCAAATTTTGATTATATTTGTTTATGTCCATCAAATCATTCTGGTAAAAATTGTCGCATAGTACTTTCATGTCAAACGAATACTTGTCATCATGGTGGCACATGTTTTGAAACTGGTTTGTAGACCACAAGAAAAAGAAAACAAACAAAAGATACTTATTTTAAAAAGCATTTTTATTCAATTTCTTTTTAGCTTATGGTGCACAATGTACTTGTCCAGAAGATTTTTCTGGTAATTTTTGTGAATATAAAAAAATGACATACAAATCAAAATCAAATGATAATTTACCACGTGTTGAATATAAACAATTTGATGCTGAAACATTAGCAGTTATTGCTAATTTAGGAAGTTTATCAAATGAAAATACTCTACGATCCAATAGTTTAAGTAATAGTGTAACTGTAGCTACGGATAGTCGTTCACAATTTGTGTTTTGTTTAACTAATCCATGTGAAAATGGTGGTACTTGTTTTGTAACAAATACAGCAACGACAAAAGTTAGATTATAGAAATGATTATTTTCTTCTTTGAAGATAGAAATATTTTTGTTTCCTCATTTTTTTTGTTTCAATAGGGAATTTGTGTTTGTCGTGATGGATATAATGGTGATTATTGTGAAAATTCCTCTCACAACAATGCATCAGTTGTTATTAAAATACCAACTGGTTATTGTTCATCAAGTCCATGTTTAAATGATGGAACTTGTGTAGGAGTAGGAGGTTTACAAGGTTATTGTCGATGTACAGCAGAATATCGAGGTCTTTATTGTGAAGTATCTGTACGAGCTGTTACTTGTCTTCCAAATCCTTGGTAACGTATTGATAATTTTGATTTCAAAACATAGATTTTTATGTTTAGTAAAAATGGTGGAACTTGTGTTTTATTAGAAAATAATCAAGGTAATAAATGCAATGTGTTGTTTTTCTTTTGTTTTTAAGATTTTTTTTTTCGAATTTTTCTAGCACAATGTTTATGTACACCGGTATTTCGTGGTTTAACTTGTAATCAATTTAGTTATATACCTTGTGGAGATGGTACTTGTCATGGTACACAGGTAACACTGAAAAATGGATATTTGTAATTTAAATTAAATCAAGTTTATATATTTAAGGGTAATTGTGTCGCTAATAAATGTGTTTGTAGGACTGGATTTGCTGGACCAAGATGTGATTCAGCAGATTTTTGTGCCACATTTCCTTGTCTTAATGGAGGTCATATTTCAATCATATGTGTATTATTTTTTTGTAAGTTTTATTTGTTTTAGGAACATGTATACGAACGAATGAAGAACCTTATGGTGGTTGTAGTTGTCCAAGTGAATTTTCAGGTCCAACATGTAGTAATGATCCATGTAATCCATCGCCATGTTTGAATGGGGGTTATTGTGTACGAAAACCCGATAATCTATTTTATTGTCAATGTCGTAATCGAAATAAAGGAGTTTATTGTGAGCGTAAGTTTATACTATCTATAAGATCAAAAAAAAAGTCATCATCATTTTCTATGTTTTAATTATTTATCTAGAGGTAGAATGTTTTCCATCAGATGCTACTGTTGATGTACTTGATATTGGTAAAGTTCAATTATCATCTTTACAAATCGGTTCTCAAGTTCGAATTATTAATGAAGAAAATCAAGTTAGTTATTCACCAATAATTGCATTTCTTCATCGAGAACTTAATGAACATGCTTTATATACACGTATTCGTACAAACAATTCAATTGTTGAATTATCCAAACGACATTTAATTCATCAACGTAAAGATGGTTTTATTTGGGCTGAAAAATTAATCGAAGGTGATGAAATACTTGTTTTATCATCCACTTATGATAATGAAACACAATGGGAAAAGATTATTGAAATAACTGATGTTCATAAACAAGGTCTTATGGCTCCATTAACTGAACAAGGAACAATTATTGTTAATAATGTTCATGCATCATGTTATGCTCTTGTTAAATCTCACAAAGTAGCTCATTTTGCATTAGCACCTTATCGATTTTATCATCGATTATTTGGCCAATTGTTTCATAGAAATTCAATGACAACACCAATTCTTTCCTATGCTAATGTACTACTTCATTTTTTCAAAAATTTACCTATTGCTAAAGAACTTATTTTTTGATCTATTCAATAATATGTAGACAGATAGCTACAACAGATAAAACAAAAAAACAAAAGAGTAGTCGTAGACATTGCTTGGCGCGTTAATCATTTTTTTTGTTATATTATATGAATTTCATTTTTTTTTGATTAGTTAAAACAAATCAATTTGATATTTGGAGAATAAAGTTTATAACTTTAATTAGAATCGTATTGATTATATATTCATTGATGCCTATATAAGCATACTTATTAAGAAGAAAACATAGTTCATAATTGCATCATTTGCAGATTAATTATAATTCTTTTGTATTTTGAATAGATATTATAATGATTATTTTTTTTAATCTAAAAATATGACGAGCTCTCTAAGCATAGAGCGAAGTTTGATTTGGATGTGGGTGGGTGTGGGGTGGATGGGCGTGAGTGTGGAGTGTGGCTGTGGCTGCAGAGAAGATGAACACCTACACCTTAACGCATGCTTATTGCAGCAGAGACATGTAATGATTTGTTGTGATATGCACTCAGGTTATTTGGCTAAATCATTATGACAACAACATCCGTAGAACGATTAAAAAAGTTCACAAAAATGTTTGTGAGAACAAAATCATCTCTCATTTTCAAACAGTTTCCTAATAATTACGTGTTAGAAAAAGATATACTGAAAGCCAACGAAAGCATTTTCTAGGAAAATACCCTGAAACACACCCTTTTTTCTCACGTTAGATTGTAAAAGCACGTCGAAGACATCATTATGGTACATATTATTTCCTAGGCTATTATTCTGTAGACTCAAGGCATAGAATCTGTCAGACAGTAAATAAATAATTTGTGTATTTATCTGCAACATACGTTTTAAACCACAGAGAGTCTATTGATTAAGCACTGAAGTTTTTATTTCGTTGGATAAAAAAATTGTCGCTTTGTTCATTTGTGACTATCTCTTTTTTGATCATTCATTTTGAAGCTTAAATAGATCTCAAATCTAAAAATATATTAAAGGCATTAAATACGCATTACTGGGTTGAGATAGGCTTTCTGCCCTTGTCAACGACTATGATAGATATTTTTACATGTCACCTGCATTCAAGCAGATGCTTGATAATTGGTACACGAGATTTTCTGTTTGGCATTAAAATGCGCTCTATGGCATTTTACGTTCAAGCTCTATAAAGATTCAGTAGAGAGCTATTAAGCATTATATTGTACTAGAAAAAGTAATGAACGTAATCACAGGATCCTGCAATCGATATCATCTATTTTAAAGTGTTCTTTTTCAATGCATTAATATGGATGAATATATCCACATATTGGAATGCGTTGAAAAGGTTGCAGTATAATATCATTGCGTCCATTGCTTTTCTATGGCAAAATAATGGACTAGAATGTTCATCATTTTAAAACATTGCCTACATGGGTGGATGATTCTCGTGTAAACCGCACTAGAAGACATACAACTGATTGATCACAGATTCTAGTGCTAGAGACATTGTTGAGTTTCGCTTTAATACGCTTTAATTTTTCAAAACTTTAACTTCATGCATCATGAGAATAAAGCGAGCAACAGACATTCAGATAACATCTTTTGTTCGGCGTATCACGCGAGAAAATTGATCAAGTTTTCTGGCGCATGGTTCATTAAAGGTAAGTAGAAAGCGGAAAGGCAAAAACGACGAGTCGGAAGTAGTGCTTTGAAAGAACACCGACGACCGACTCGAAAATGATCGTCACACTTCATATAACCTGTGATTTTTGTAGGAAGTTGCAAACGAGACATGCACATCCGCATAATTAGCAATACGAACAAATACCGTAGAAAGTTTTGTGAAAAATCTGATATATCGTCTGAAGTCAACACATGAACTTATAGTACAAGTCAAGATCGTGTGGAAGATCGATGTAGTGAACAGTTATAATCTCATATTAGTACTAACATTTGCAGATTTTTCCACAGTGAGAAAAGAAGTGTTTTTTGATAAGACCAAATGTATCAATGATTGAAAAAAGCATTAAGATATTCAGACGAAACTTATTTGACAAGCGCGAACTAGTGTTTTAGAAACGAACAGACGAATCCATCGCATGAAGACTGTTTGCAACGATCGATACATTTAGATGAATATCATCATAGACTTGAATGTGAAGAACATTTGATATCAGCCAGATTTCGGAATAATACCAAGTAATGATGTAAATTTTCAGTTCAGTTGGCACTCAAAAGGAGAACAGTCTTGATATCAATAGAGATTTTATTAACATTCAATGTAGGAATGAGTGAATTGGAAGCTAATGAACGTTACTTGTTAATTAAAAATATTCAACTGACAGTACTCTAATTATTAATAGACATGACCATTGTTGTAGAATTCACATATATTTTCGAAGAAAATAGCGAGTACAAGTTTTGATTCCAAGCTTTCCGGCTCCCCCACTTTATTACAGATACTAGCAACCAAGATATGCAATTTTACTATTGAATGTAATAATAGAAGAAAATCAGCGCAAAGATAAAAAGAAACTTTGACTACTCTAGCGTATGCCCGAGTATTGTCGAAATTCAAATCAATAAAATTCATATGTTAGTATTCCTAGTAGTTCGGTTTTGGATTTTGCTCAGATAAAAATTTATATTAAAGACGTCAACGATTATGAGAAATGATCAATTGATAAAGTTGTTAAGCGGGAAAAAAACTTAGTGTCAGTGTTCTGACTTGATCGAGATATATAATAGCTCATTGACCCACACCACACACCCACACCCACACTTACCCACATATCCACAACCACGCTCAACATCGATCCATACATCCACACATATCCACAACCACGCTCAACATCGATCCATACATCCACACCCATCCAGAACCACCCAACCACATCCACATCCTAAGATCTATATATTACATCTGTCGAAATTGACACACTGATTTCTAACTAATACTTGTACATTGCTTTTAGATCGAGTTTCGCAAAAGCTGTAGCTTCAAGACTTTAAGACTAAAACCTCTGCTGTTTCTCCATAGTTCAAAAACCGTACTTCTTCTCTTACTTTATCTTTATGTCGACAACAGTATCTTTTTGCAAGTTAAGATACCCTTCAGCTGCATCAAACAATTATTTCAAATAAGAATAGATTAAATTTATCGAATATTGTAAAGACACCACATGATTATTAAAAAAAAATGCAGCTAAAACATACTATAAGCTTTATTCAATAGGAGTTGCTGTGAATCATTTGATGAAACATTTCGAAAGAAATTTTCTTTTGCTATAAACTTCAGCGCATATGAAATATTATAGACTAAAATAGGACTTGTTAGTATTAGAAACTAAGAGTTATATGAGTTTTAAATTCGATGCCTGTGTAGATCTGAATTTACAGATTATTTTTTGAAAGAATTGGTTAGTTAATCTACTGAATGGGCCTGCTTGCCACCGGATGAATTCTGTAAATAGGTCGATTGGTTTTTGTCGGGTTCATCCACCGTTTCAACTGACGGTTTTCATCATTCACCAACAGTCAAATTTACAGCCGTATCGCGTTGATGAATGTGTTGCCGTTTTTGATTTTGAAGTTCTGTCGTTGAAGCAAAGAATAGAAAAATATTTTCGAGGTCACATAGAAATTCTGACTGTTGTGAAAGATGATTTAAAACAACTGTTCCTATTGGTTTGGAAAGTCGAAGCATATACATCTATTAATTATGGCAATGAAGTGATATCGAAAACTATCTCAATTGCAGCGCTGAGTGGAAACCATAGGAGGCACACTTGACTTATCAATGATACTCATGTGTCTCGACTTTGAATTTGCAGAACAAGATTATGACAGACTTTTTATTTTAACAAGTAGGGTTAGTGCAATATTTTCTATACTGATGCCTTTATCATTAGCAAACATTGCAATACTTTTATTTAAAAATGTTTATAGTTAATTGCGAACTAAAAATGTGTATATGTCAAAGTGTCAGAGACCATGATTGTTGAACTCGACAAACGAATGTTTCGAAGGTCTGAAAACGAAATGTATTCATAAAGAAGAGTTATGTAGGTACGATTCTTAAAGGCGATGACTGAGAGAAGTTAAGGGTGCAATTGATTGTAATGAGTTTCGACAAGAGGTAAAATTTTTGAGACCAATTCTATATTATTCCGAGTGGGCTCAAGAGTATTACCAATCGTCATCGTTTGATTTTGTCGATTCCTTATTTTGAAACATCGAAGAAATTCGTTACGAAACATTTTCGAGGCCAAACAGTGAATATAGAAGTTGATCTAGTAGAAAACAGATATGTTGAAATTAAATGTCGGAATATAAGATGAATCATGTTACTTTCAGAAAATTTCATAATATTTATAAACTACACTCTTTTGATAACATATAGCGTTATCGATCTTAGATAAAAAATCTAAAGCATTGAATGATGATTCAAGAACAATCTAATCTTTGCTGTTTTTCTCCTTCTGTCGAGAGAGCAAGCAATACCAATTCTTTATTTTTCGTGAGACTTTTTTTCAAATATCACTTTCAGAGACCGATTACTTACAGCATAGTTAAAAGTAAGTACTAGATTGACAACAGCTTCTTCATTGATGATCTCGTTTACATCGGTATGAACGTTTGCAGCAAGCCGATAGGCATTGGTAATTTGAGAAACACTAATAGGCAAAGTTGTAGCTAGAAATAGAATGGCACTTGATATCATCAAGAGTAACATGTGTCGTTGTAGGCGTGATTGTCTGGCACGTTCATGATGATTGATACTTGTTGGTTGGATACGTTTTTTCTCCTTCTGAATTATACGATGAATGGTGATACTACTAGTAAGTATTAACAATACAGGAATGATTGAGATGAAAGTGACCTGAAACAATCAGAAGGATATTTCTCAATCTTTGTTTCTCTTTTGACTACCTGAATAATTGGCCACTGAGTAAAAAAGAAAGGCATGTAGAGTGAAGTTGGATCAATAGGCCCACATGCAACTGATGGAATACCAGGAAAGAATCTGCCGAATAGTT